GTGCCACTGCACTACAGCCTGGGGGACAGAGTGAGACCCTGTTTCAGAAAAAAAGAAAAGAAAAAAATGAATCTGCCCAGTATAAAGGAGAAATGCTTAAAGTAATTCTGTCCATTGCTGGGCAGCAGGTGTTGAAGGTTCAATTTCAAGCCAAGAGACAACAAACTAGTGGTTGGCATAATGCACCTATCGTGTGGCTGGAACATCCTGGGATGCGTACTAAGCAGGCACACCCACACAAGAGACACGCACACAAGTGTTCGTAGCAGCTTTATTTGTAGTCGTTCAGAACTGGAAGTGGAATGCGGTACAGTAATGAAAATGAACACATGCCTACTGCATGGGACGGCATGGATGCATCTCACAGGCGCAGTCGTGGGTGAAAGAAACCAGACAAAATGATACACACCGTGCATTGCGTTCCCTTTACATAAAGTTTAAAAACAGGCAGACGTGATCGGTGGCGTCAGAAGTCACCTTTACCGAGGGGCGGGAGGGAATGCTGTTTCTTGGTCTGGGTGTGTTCTCCTGGTGGTAACTCATCAGGCACATTTGCAGTGTACCACTTTTCTCTGTGTGTGCTCACACTCATGTCTTTAAAAAGGCAGACGTCCCTCTGTGTTCTCCCTGCCCTTCCTCCTGCCCTGGCCCGGCTGCTCGGTTCCTGGCAGTGCGGGGAGGTCCCTCCAGGGTGGGGAGGCTCTGAGTCTCTGTGGGAGGTGATGATGGGCGGTGGCCCCTGGGAGGCTCGTCCCCAAGGTGCGGGCAGGGTCCTGTTATTCTCTTCATAAGACCCCCAGCTGCCTAATTGAGGGAAGGGCTATTCAAAGGGGTGAAAACAGGGCCTCCAGAGCTGCTAATGGACTTCAGGTTCCCCAGGGCAATTTCCCCACCTCGAGAGATCCCCCTTGAACCTGGTGCCGGGTACATAGGACGGGAGTTGGGACCTTGGGTGGGGCCACAGGAAGGGAGCTCTGCTTTCAGTGGGCCCTTGAGGGGGCCCTGACCACAGACACTGGACCCCCCCTTCTCTCCGGACCTGACCGCAGACGCCGGACCCCCCATTCTCTTCAGACCTGACCATAGACACTGGACCCCCCATTCTCTCTGGACCTGACCACAGACGTCGGACCCCCCATTCTCTCCAGACCTGACCACAGACGTCGGACCCCCCATTCTCTCTGGACCAGCTACAGAGTGAGACACAATTGATGGGTCCCTTTTCCTCCAGGGCCCAGAGGAGGCAGCTGTGGGGTTAATGGCCTGCAGACCCTACCCAGGCTCCCCCTCCACCTCTGGGCACTGGAGGGCACAGTGCCCCTGGGCTGGCACCAGGGGCTGCCCTTCTTGGGTCCAAGAGGTGACCCCACCCAGCTCGGTGACCCTGGCCTCCTGTTTAGCCTCCCAGCCTGCAATGGGCTGTAACAGCCAGGAGCCGGGAGGGGCTGGGGGGGACTGCAGCTGGAAGCCCAGAAGCCCAGAAAGTGCTGCTTGCGGCAGGAGCACGTGCTGTCTGCTCCCCACCAGGGTGGGTGCTGGGCTCCCGGGCAGCAGGGCCTGGAGGGAGGGGCCTCCTGCTGCTGCTGCCTCTCACCATGGCAACGCTCCTGCTGGGGCCTGCAGGTGGGGGTGGCAGGCCAGGCCGCCCTTCCCCCTCTCCGAGGGGCTACATCCCTCCTGGGCCTGCCTGGTAGACTAGGTCTGCCTCAGCCACACCCAGACACCGGGTTGGAGGGTGGGCTGTCGGGCCGTGGCTGGCCCAGGTCTGTGGCGTGACCCTCAGGCATGTTTGTCCGCTGCCAGCCCAGCCCCAGCTTCTCTGATCTGGGGGGACATGAGCTGCTCCTCTAAGGGAGGCTCCAGAGGCAGGAGCTCTCTGCTGCCATGGAGACTGTTTAATTCACTGCCTCAAGGGCATGTTCAGTCCCCAGGGAGCCAGCCCCAAGGCATGGCCGCGGGGGAGGACCTTGTCCTGGTGGCCGTCCAGGGGGCCCAGGTGGGCCAGCAGATGAGATGCTCCTTGACTGGGAACCGAATCCGCACCTGCTCTGGGGCCAGGCCAGGGCTGAGGTCATCCTGAGACACTGGGGGCCAGAGAGCCGTCTTGGCCCTGCTCCCCACTCTGCCTCCAAGCCCCTGTCTGCCTCTGGGCTGCCAGCCTCCACCTGCCTGCGGCGGTGGCCCCAGGGTGATGGCCTGGCTGTGCCCCATGCACAGGTGGTTCGTTAGGCACTCGGAGGCTATTATTAACCCGGCAGTGACGTCACCAGCAGCCAATGGGAGGCAGGTTTATTTCCGGGGCTGACAGCTTGATAGCGGTTAATTTTAGCTGCATCTTCTTCCCCGAGGCTCGTGAAACCCTAGCCAGCCAAAGAAGGGGTTGCCTGTGTCTCCCCAAACAGCTCAGGGATGGGTCCTGGGGGCTCTGGGAGGGGGCAAGGAGGGGCGGGGCCTGGGGGCTCTGGGAGGGGTCGAAGAGGGGCGGGGCCTGCCCTCAGGGGAGCCCTGATTGGCTGGTGCCCTCTTGACTCACCATCCCCCCTCCTACCCCCCCCAGGTTGTTGGTAAGGGGGGCACTATGACCAGGGACTCAGATGCAGGAAGAGGGGCCCAAGTCCTGACCTGGGGGAGGCCAGGGAAAGCACAGGCCACAGGCCCCCTACTTGCTGTGTGTCCTTGGACAGGAATCTTGGCCTTTCTGTGCCCAGTTGCCTCACGGTTCTCGAGGTCCTCCGGCCAGCCTTGGGGGGCCTACCTTGTAGCATCTGTCCCCGCAGCCCCCATCCCCGCACACTGTGCACGTGCATGGGTGGCCCCCTGTCCCCCGTCCCCCACACTGTGAACTCACACAGCTGGGCGACGTGGCTGTGGCTAATTTGCTTGGTACTCAAAGTCATTTGGCGCTACCTGTCCGTTGACAAGTAGCTTGCTTGACAAGTAGCACAACCTGCTTGTTGTGCTATGTCAGAATACCTGAGACTGGGTAATTATACATTACTTAAATTTAAAAATTTACTTTATAAAGTTTGCTTTATATATTTATAAGTTATGTTTATTACAAGTAAACAGAAGTTTGTTTCTCACAGTCGGGAGGCCGGGAAGTCGAGGATCAAGGTGCTGGCATCTGGCAGGACCTTCTTGCTGTGTCCTCATGTGGGAGAAGGTGGAGGAGCAAGAGAGAACCCACTGCCATGAGTCCTGTTTATAGGGCACGAGTCCATTCAGAAGGGCAAACCCCTTATGACCCAGACACCCTCCTGAAAGCCCCAGCCCCCAGCACTGTTGCATTAGGGATTAAGTTACAGCTCGTGCACTTTGGGGACGTGGTCAGGCCACTGCTGTTATTCAGCAGTTAACATTCAGTAGTTAGTAGTCATTCAGTACTATTCAGTCTCGCAGGGCTCGGAACCATCGGTGTCTTAGTGTTTAGCCTTGTGACCGCAGCCCCATTAGCTGTGTGTTCCCAGTGTCTCCGGATACTGAGTCAGCAGCTCCCAGGGCCCCAAAGGGCCACACCGTGGACCCAAAGAGCCCAGGAGACTCTTTGGAGGAGTCACCGACACCCTTGCCCAGGGTCAGCACACAGGTGCTTTGGGGAGGATGCCACATTCCACTGACTCTCAGGGGCCACTCCTGTGGGTGGCAAGGGCCCCCGGCATATGTGAGCCCCTGGCACCGCTGTGGGCGAGCCGGGAGCTGAGGGGGAAGGGGTGTCTGGAAAAGGTAGCCCAGAGTCCTGGTGGTCCCCAGGAGTGGGGTGGGCATGCCAGGGACCCCAGCCTGGGCCACTGGAGCCCCTGCAGCAAGCCCACTTCCCAAATCCCTGCCTAACCTTCGGGCTGCAGGGGAGGCGTTAAATATAGAGACCAGCTGGGTGGGGTGGGGCGGGACTTGCTTTCTCGCCAGGCGGATATTTTTATTCCTGGCTCCTGTTTGATGGCATCAGCAGCACTCGGAAGTGCCGGGGCACCTGGCAGGCCCTCCCTGCCTCCTCTCCTGCCTGTGGCTCAGGAGCTCAAGTCCCTGGACTCCTATGGGGCAGACGCAGCCACAGACCAGTGTCCTCCTGAGAGACCCTCTCCATGGGCTGGGGAGAACTGTTTGGCCCCGACCCTGGGCCCCCACCTTTCCTTCCTCCTCACACCTGCCAGGGGGCCTGGTAGGGGTCCAGTCTCCGGGGATCCCCATGGCTTTACCCAGTGGCAGGTGCCGGTCCCGACCCAGGCCCTCCATATCAACACTCAGTGGGCACTCAGGGCTGACAGGACAGGTGCCAGGGCTCTGCCCCCACTCAGCACACACCCCCCGAGACCCTGCTGGCAGGCACACACCCCCCGAGACCCTGCTGGCAGGAAGATCCGAGTAGGGGGGGCAGCGTGGGAGGGAAGATGTGAATACCTGGGTGAGACGACAGGATCTTGGGGTCTGGGAGGAAGCCCCTGACCTTGGTCTTTACGCAACACATGGCCGCCACATCCCCTTCCTCACATCCCACGTTGGTCATTACCCGCGGGTGCCCAGGACCTCAGGGACTCCCCACTTCCTACAGAGCGTGGCCCGGTCTTTGGCTTGGCATCCTGACCCCATGTGAGGACAGCCGCAAGGCGCTGAGGTGCAGCGGGGTGGGCGCTGGGCGGGGGCCTGGGTCTGTCTGGATCTGGCTCGCCCTTGGCTGGCGCTGTTTCCCAGCAGCAGCCGGCGGTAGCGCACCCGGAGGGCAGGGTCCCTGGAAGATGTCAGTGGGTCTGGGAGCGGGCTTCCGGCGTTCCCTGCACCGTGGGGCCAGCCTCTCCGGGGAGGGTGGTTCTGCGCCGGATCCTGGGGGCCTGTCATGGTGCGCCCAGGAGGGCAGGCACGTGAGGACAGGGGCTGGAAACCAGCAGATTCCGGGGTTCCACCCTGAGACCTGCACCCCCGGGCCTCACTAGGGAGAGCCCCTCAGGGCCGGGCTTCGGGGGTTCTTGGGCGTCCCTCGTGAGCCGCCGGGGAGGGGCCGGTAGACCCAGGCTCGTCTCCCAGGCTGCAGCGCAGCTGTTCCCCTCCCCCGCCTG